TTTTGCCCTAAATTCATTATAGGAATGTTAATTAATTAAATACGTAGACATGAAAGAGGTTTTAAGCGTTTTTCATTGATTGAATTCATCTAAACGCAGAGCATATCGACTTATATTTTATACATTTTTCTGTATTCCTTACACAAATTAGTGATCTACTGGTATTTGTTTTTATTATTTCAATTTGTATAAATTCTTACTACTTGATAGTTACTTGACATATCTTAAAATTTTTGCATCTTTGCAATGTTCTTTTGCGAGACAAGAAAGCTTATGCATGTTGATGTCGTATTTTTGCATCTTTGCAATGTTCTTTTGTGAGACTAGAAAGTTTTTGTATGTTGATTGTGGCCTTATAAGTCGTCAGATATCTTTGCATAAGTGCTTCATTTGTTTTTTTATTTAACAGAAAGATAAACACAGGTATATTTAGGGTGCCATGTTGATGTTTCATATTCTACAAATTTCGCTTTAATGAAAGTTAGATGTACCACCACAGAGTCCGGCATAAAGTGACAGTAGAGTTGCTGTCACCTCTGAAATTCGCGCGACCCCGCGAGTGAAGGTGCAGCAGGCTTCATCGGAAGACTACAATAAAAAAACATTGATTGGTTTATGAGGAAAGAGACATATAGACGTAGCCTTCTGTGCAAAACATATCGGTTTTGAGACCTGTCGGATCCAGCAAAATTGTTTTCTAAATATTATCATAGTTCGTTCTATCATTAAGCTGTAGGTGATAGAACTCGGTTTTCCGGAGATTAACTATGCTCTTTCCACTTTTTATCAATGCCATTATATTTTAGGTGGTCAGTAATTAAATATGTAATAGGAGAGACTGTCGTGTTCTGTTTTGTCTTGCTCCATTCTAGGAACCCGCTTTGTCGCTCAGGGAAAGGCTTACCACTAAGCTGTTCTGTTCTGAGTATATGCGGTCTTAGTGAACACAATATTTCTCTTTCATTCGTTGTTAATGCAGATTATTTGTGGCGTTTCGTTAATGGAATTTACACCCAGGTTAAAGTGGAGACTATATACAAATAGATGAATTTCGGAACACAAAGGGTAAAGAGGGTTAAGCCAGGTCTTACCATCCCAGCAGTTTTCTGATGGAATGAGGAACATCAGGTTAGCCTGTCTCTCGCAGTAGATTTACAGTCTGTAGTCTTGAATATGATAGAAATAGAATCAGTAACCCCTACATTGCACTTTTCAGTTTTGTGACTTTCAAAATGTGTATTTGAAGATTTGTATTAAAATTTAGTGTGAGACATGTATCCTTTCCGATTCTTTGATTGTCCTCTCATTCGACGCTATACAGCCTGAGCTACTGACAGCGTCGTTGAGTAAAAATAAATTATTTATTCGGATATATTCATACAAAATTAATAATTCGTGAAACTGGTCACTTTGCAGAGGACATCCGATTTTATCACTTCATAGCCGGAGATAATCGATTACAAAGTAAATTTGGTAAGAGACAGTCATTAACGAAGGCTCATAACTGTACCATCATCACGCAAAATACACTTCTCCTTGTTAATTATATTAGTGAATTACTAGTGCATGCAAATAGACAGGCAGAAACCAGCACTGGTTCGATATTCGACTTACTTAAATCCGTCGGCTGTTCGGGATTCTCGGCGTTCATTAGTGACATCAGGATCTGAGGGTCGACCCAGGACGCAGGTTCCCACCAACACCATCGCAACACCCGCTGCCAAAACCTGACATCAACACCACAGAGTTTAGAATTCATCTCTGAATTTGCAGGAAGAATGCATCATGTATTTAATGTTTTGACTGTAGGCAAACTTAAATCTCAAGTTTAATGCAAAGCGTTTGTCAAATGAAAGCATAATACAGAAGTCTTGCACGTCTTTCTACGAAACTACCGTTTTAATTTAAAATCCGTAAATATTCTCAATTTATTATCTAATTAGCATCTCATTAGACGACAATTAACTTATTAAACAGTTGCCTTTATACCAGATGAGACTGAATATTCCTTCTTAAATTTATCATTTCGGTAACAGGAGTTGCATTTAATTCTGTGAATTGTCTGCCTCTAATAAATATTGTTTTTGTAATAACCTAACAAAGTTTTTGTTGTAACTACTGTTCAGGATTAAGGATCTCCGTGTTTAAGGATGCCATGACGCCTGTTTTCTGCATAGCTGATCTAAAGTTCTGCTGCACTTGTACTGAAGTTTTATTGAAATTCTTGGCTTTTCCGACTCTGTCAAATCGTATCTTAAGACTTTCTGTCCACACTACATCCATAGTCTTTATTAAAATGCTAAAAACTATCTATGATATATCACGTACTACACACTTATAAATTATATTATATTGGCAGTGGTTGCAATGTGAAATTTCTTCCGAGACTTTTCGTATCTTATATTAGTATTATTATTCAGTGTTCTGTCTTACGACAGGTCCATTGCTCTGCCCAAAAAGAGCTCTCCAGTTTTCCCTATTCTCAGCGTATCTTATATAAAGTGAATAAAAATAATACACGCTTTTTTTCCAATATTTTTTCTTCTGTCAAACTCTTAATTGTTTGAGGTTGCAATTAGATCTACAGAAAGTCTGAGAAGGTGGGAAATTAATAGAAATTTACCTAAATTTGAGTGACGAATGTTAACCTCTGAGATACGGATATGGTCTAAATAGTTTTTCATTTATCTATCGTCTTTTATGGGTTAACCCGTGGTCCTATCGTGATACCAGTTAGGTGACCATGGGAAAAGTTGTTCAGAAAACTGTTTTTTTAAGTGAAAGACTGAGTTTCCTAGTTTCTTATTGTGTAGTTATGAGTACAGAAGACACATTTATCAGGGAGTTTGGAAACTGACGAAAATTATTTTGCCGTTGCTTAGCGACCAGCCTTGGTTTTCCTTTTTAGCAGTGACGAGATGTGAGTGACCGCTACTGACCGCCTGCTATGATTATTACGGGATGCTGTGGTACTGCTCTGTGCATTCCGTTACATGCCCCTCGCCCCGCGGGTTGTAATATTAACGTTTCCTTGAAGGGAATGACACGCGTTGAAACAAGAAATTCACAATAATAATTATCGTCGTTGATTTCATGGGACCGTTTTCAAATATGGACGGCAGACGCAAGTCGCAGGCCTCAGGTAAGGCGACTGTGAGGCTAAGTATCTAGCAATATAAAATGTTATGTTACAAAACGTTTATACAGAAACGAAGAACTGAAGAGTAGAAGAGATATTAGACAAATTTTGGAAAACGTTCATTATGTCACCTCCGTACCTCCGTCAGTCAGAAAACAATCTTTCCAAATAAACCGACATCTTTTCTGGTGGCTTGAGTCTGAAAGTGTTGTAATGTATTTCCATAGTAACCAGTAGTATATGCAAACAAGTAACAACAATAAATCGTTGTCGTACAATAAAGGAATTTCGAGCAAACAAGACGAATCTTTCTAAACGATATGTCACGTATGGAGCTTGGGAAGTGTTGATAAATTTGTCAAGTACATATATAGAGGTATATAGTGGGAACAGCTGCAGTGCTGTAAGAACAAGAATTTTACACTTTTGTTATGCTAATGGTTGTCATTACTTTCAGAGGTAGAGCTTATGAAAGGTTCATCGACTCTGAACAAACCAAGTATGCTGCAGCAGTGTCATAGCAATGCTCATTTCCCCACCCTAAAATCTGAGACATTTGCTAGAAGGAAGGCATAGCACGTCCCCAACTTAACGTCGAGAGGACTGAAACGATTGCTAGCTTATTGAAACAACGTAATGGGAAATCAATCACCCATTTTCCGGCTGTACGCTTTGTCAAACCGACGTTATATCGTTCACAAACGACGCGTATATTAATTTTGTAGTTAAGCGGACAGACTACACGGCGTAACAACCCAAAAGACACCAATCCTCATCTTAAGTGATATGTTTGTTCTATAGTCTGTAACACAATAAAAGTTAAATCTAGGCTGAGTCCAGTCATTTCACTTTCTAGCCTCTAGTCAGAATTGGGCGAAGTTTTGGCATCCTAGTCGGGTGTCACTGATCAGGTAGTTGTAATTATAAAAGAATTCCTGGCTGAGTTTTGATGCTGGGTCTGACGGGAAACTACCCTTCTTTAAAAGCCAGACTTAAATGAAAGAATACTCATTTAATGTTTATATCTGATTTTAAATAGTTTAATTACCTCCAAGTTAAATTTTTACTCTGATGATTATCGTAACGTCAGATCACGTTCTTAAGTGACTGATATTTTGCGACGCTATATCGTTAACCTTTTCCCTTTATATCGTAGCGGTTTATTGGGCATGAGCCCAGCTTCGTATTTGGTAGGTTCTGGGTTCGAATATTGATCCGGAGGTCTGTTATCCTGCTTGAAACTTTTTGTGGTTTTCTCAGTTCTTTGAAAAGAAAAGGATGCTGGGACATTGTTTTAAAAAGCATGCTATGATTGCGTCCTTCCATATTCTTTGCAATTAACCCTTTAAAGTCGAAGCTCATTCAAATAATAGGGTCTGTTTAAAAATCAAGTTCGTATCGCAAAGGAAACAGTGCATTTGCATTACAAAGATCAAGTAATTAATGCTGTTTAAGAAAGTGATTGCTGCTTACACCGAGAATAATACATAGCCCAGAAATACACTCTGCACAAAAATCAAAGTTGTTACATATTAAAGCATGTTGTACATAGTAACTGTTAATATTATGTCATCATTATTTCATTCGGAGATATGTAACCTATGCTGTTGATAAAATGTTAAGATAAACTAAGAATACTAAGAATCAACACTGTAATTATTCTGTGTTGTGAAATCATATGAACAAAGGAGATAACAGCCCCTAACAGTGCTACTAATACACAAGTAAGTAAAGTAAAGTTTGTCCCACTATACGCCATGTAGGCGTTTGGGGGGAGTGGAGGTATAGCTCCTCTGTTTCTTGACCTCGGAACTAGATGGGGGTGAGTGGTCAGCATCACGCCCCGGCCGGCTTTACCCCCGGGAAAGGACCCCGGTACCCACTGTAGAGGAGGCTGGGTGGGCCCCAGAGCCGGTCTGGACGTAGAGGCTAGAGGAAAAATCCTCTGCCCCCGTCGGGGATCGAACCCCGGTCGTCCAGCCCGTAGCTAGTCACTATACTGACTGAGCTATCCCGGCTCATACTAATACACAAGTACCATCAACAAAGCTAGCAACATATGATAGGAACATTGTCTCTTACCTTAGTACAGGAACCCATACTGCCAGACGTTCAAGTCTTCCTGGATGCCGGCGATGACGACTGTTTCTTACGTGTGAACGAACAGCCTTGGGTCGAGCGGATGATCCAGCAAGCCTTGGTGAAGATGTTATTATGTTGCATCAAGTACAGCAGTCAATGCCTTATAAAACCCGTTCTCTCTCTTCCTCTTGAAGTAAAAAAGAAACACTAACCAGGATGGCAAGGGGGAAGGGGGCAAATCTTCTTCTCTTTGAACACCCCACTCACCTTACGTTTTCTTCTTTTGTTCACGTTCTCTTTCTTTGCTATACATTTGCTTTATTCATATCTCTCTCGGCGCTCCTCGGACTGTAAAATGAAGTGGCAAATTTTGTGTCTTGCTTCATCTTAATGATGTATGTGAACATTTGTCTCTCTCGCTCTCATACATTTGTGACGAACCTTGACACTGCCAACAAACTGATAGGTTATTCACCTCCACGCCTTCATGTAAAACGCAGACACGGTGTTTCTCTGCAACACCTTGGCCAAATCAGGAGTCCGGTCGGATTAAGGTAATACACAGCTTCAGTTTCAAAATACGTTTATAATTATGAAGTTCAGTGTTAACGGAACACACGCGAGATGATTTATGTATCCTTGTGCCGGATTTACGTGTAAGCTGTATAAGCTATAGCCTCACAAAATACAGTATATTTTAATTTTAATAGAAGGTGAATTATAAAAACTTCAGTAATCTCCACGCGGAAGTGTAATCACTGTATATGTGGCGTGTTTGCGTGTTTAGTTTTGTAGTTGTACATCCTACATTTCTGAGAGACAGGTTGTTAACACCTTAAGATTAGAGGTGTCTCTTTTAAATGCTCATTTTGATGTTGGGATGAAACATAGAAGGCAAAATGCTAACTAACTAACTCCCTGGTAGCAGAATCCGCAGGTTCAACACCGACAACACCAAAGACCGCCACCGGACACGATCCTGAACCAACTCCATCCATTTGCCATCCTCACAGCCCACCCCCCTAAGATCCAACTTGATGTTATCCTCCCATATCCTTCTTGGTCTGCCCAGTGGTCGTTTTCCAGGATTATCCACCAAAATCCTGTATGCACCCCTTGCCTTCCCCTCATGCGTGCTACATGTCGAGCCCAGCCTCCTAGATTTCACTATCCTCTCTATGCTAGGTGACAGTTCAATTCACACAGCTCCTCGTTATGCAATATTATAAATTACCAACTTATTTCATCCCTCCTAGATCCAAATATTCTCCTGAGCAACTTGCTTTCACACACTTGTAATCTATTACGCCCACTTAATCAAGCGGGATCTATGGGAGATAGGAGTTGAAGGAGACTGGATTTTGTTGGCCCAGGACAGGGTCCGGTAGAGGGCTTTGGTTAATTCGGTGATGAACCGTCGGGTTCGGTAAGCCATCTAGTTAGTTAGTTAGTAACTTATAATTATGTTCTGTCATTGTTGATTATGTTGATCTCGAAACACGCTCATGTAATTTTGTTTTGTCTACATTTACTTCTAGGCCTAATTATTTGCTAACCTGTTGGAGAGTTTCTGCATTCTAGGTTATGGTACCCACAACATTCCCTAGCAAACTGACATAATCAGCATATGCAAGTACCTGGTACAGACCATTCAATTCGAGCCCTTCCTGATTCCCTCTGACTTTCATGATGACATGTTCTAGACCAAAATTAAAAAGTATTGGGGATAAAGCATCCCCCTCTTTGAGGCCATTGTGCACTGGGAAAGGATCCGACAGAAGATTATCTATACGAACTCTACCATACACATCTTAATTAACCTAACAAATTTCTTTAGTGTTCCAAACTCAATCAAAATGCCACACAGTACCTCTATTCTAACTGAGTCCTGTGCCTTCCTAAAGTCCACAGATACTTCCCGAATATGAGGCCTCAGTGCTAAACACTTGACCGCTAGTTTGATCCATCTTAACTAGTTTACGAACTTTTAAGTATTTCGAATCATGCTTCCGGTATGTTTCCGTCAGTAATAACTCTGCTAGTCAGTTATATGACGGATGTTGCCTAATATCTGCGTTAGTACGTATCGCTTTCACCTCATCAGTATTGATGACACAGAGTGCTCGACATCACTGAGTAAGCCGTCTTAACATTTAAATGGAACGCAGCAACAAGGGAAATATGGCTATGTTACACATCCGTTGGCAACGATTTCTTCGCCTACCGTGTTGTATTGTGGGATAGAAATCTCCACGTGACTTTTGTTTTACGCGGTGCATGTGTTCCTGCAAACTGATAGAAAACGCGTATAGCAAAAGCGCCTGTAATTAGAGTTGTATGCTTTCTAGGGCGTCTAAAATTCGCATGATCATAACCTGCTTTTATAAAGATTAATTTTAACTATTGCTACGCTGTAGTAAAATTTAAAGGAACCTCCATATGCATTTTACCTAGAAAAGTATATTTTAAGTTGATAGGAAGCCATGGCAGTACACGTTTCTGTCACTGGTTTTCCGAAACACCAAACGATGTGTACAATTTTTGTACGATGGGTGTCTTGTGAGAAATTTCATGAAGTTCAATAGAATTTTCATTTAAACTTTTCCACGCTACAAATGAAATACGTCGCCTTGAAACGGGTTTCTTCTGCCTTGATTGTCTAAACCTGTTGTCCCATATTTTGAAAATTTAAACTAACCATTTAAAACTCGTACAAATTTAATTTATAAAATATTGTATAAATAAAAAATAATATGCTTAATTTACATGAGTACGACCTATCTAATCATTGAAATTGTTCAAGGGGGATTGTAACTGACCGATAAACATAAACATTAAGTTATCCAAAGTAACTTTGATCGTAGATCCCCGGTAACGAATTTGTGTTTCTTATGGAGAACTAAGACATCCCATGGGAAAAAATACAAATGATCTTGCGTAAACCCAAATATGAACTCTATGTTTGCATCACGTCCAACTTTCGTTTCTTGCCCACCCATCACTACTCTGAGACACGATTCGTTTGGTGTATGAGCCGACAATTCGTGACCACTGAATCACTTGAAATGATATGCCACACTTCTTCTATGGACGATGTCCATATCTTCCTTTCATACAATGTTTATATTCTGGATTTATAACTCAGACTATTTGCCAACGTAAATTCATCTTACTGCAACTGACTTCCGACCTCCGCTTAAAAATTAAATATTAGATATTATAAAACAACTACGCGTTTACAACAGACTATGCAACTAGAATTTCAGTTTCGTGTACATATGTTTCAGTAATTAAGCATATCTTTTTTCTGGATCCTCTTTAAATTTCGACTTGTGTACGAAATTCATAAACCCAGCCGCAGTCAAGTTTTTCTAAGCGCACATGTCCCCGCCCCCCTCAAAATAAAATGACGTGCTGTAGGATTTGAGGTTTTCACGGCGGTGAGTCTGAAGATGGCTGTCTTCTGAATTGTTGAGCTCTGTACTCTGGTAGAAGTTTGTCGACTTTTCAGAGGTCCTTGCTGCCTCCATCATCAAGTCGATGGTCGCCCTGATGATGGAGGCAGCAAGGATCTCTGTAGCGTCGGTAAACTTCTACCAGACTTCACGGCGCAACAACCCAGAAGACAGCCATCTTCAACGGACATGCTGCTGGATCTCCAAATCGTGTTTAAACATCTGTCCCCCCATTTACCCCTATTTATATTCGTACCCCACTGTAAGAATTGTAGCTTCTTCTCCAGCCGTCACACATTGGGCCGTTTGACCTCCTCTGTTTCAGAATGTATTTTGAAATAACAAATCCTTAGTCAGATCGTAGATTCTGGGTTTGTCACTCTTTATGCTCAGAGTTATTTTGCACTTTTCTGAAAGCGTTCACTAACCTTAAAACAACCTTGATCGTGTACTTGGAGGACGTTGCTTCTTCAAGATGCTGGCCGCTGTCCGACCGTTTTTACCATGCTTTTCTTTTGTTTCTTAGTATGTTTTTTCTGCTGTGTTGGTAGCGTTCATTGGGCAGGTTAGAACATCCTGACACTTAACAGGTTGAACGAGAAACATAAAAACGGGTTTATGGTTTTGCAATTCAAAATTGGAAGTTGTGATACATTACAAATTAGAAAAAAATATGTATTTTATTTTGGGCGAGTTTCTCCTCAGTTCATATTTCTTGTGTAGAGCCGATCTTCTGTCTTCTTCCGTCCATGTGTACGTAAAATTAGTCTTATGTTATGCATTTCCGTGCCTTATTTAAAATCATGAACATGAAATACACGAAACTGTAATTAACCGGAAATATAATAAAAGTGTGTAAGTCCGTAATTTAAGAACAAAATATTATTACTGATTTAGGGCATGGATTTAAAAATGTCTATACACCTTAGCAAACGTATTACCTCGGTCTCATCTTTATTTATCAATTCTGTAATCATATTAAATATTATTATTCAAATTGTGTATAAACTTTGAAAAAACAACAACTAAATTTTGAGTGGTTTCTGAAAATTTATTTTCGTTTCGAGGTATTTTAACACTTACGCTCTTTCCCCGGGCAACGGCGAAATATAGGCTAATATATTCTTAAATGGCATGGAACTTGATGTCTGATAATAAGCAGAAAACAATTGATGGAGATGTCTCAGAAAAAAGTGCGGACAATATATTGATAATTAACGTAGGTTGTAAAAAATACACGTCATTAAACTTCATGATTTATACTTTTCGTCCCAACATTGTTGAGATGATAAAGTCAGGGATTTCAGCCATAAAGCCTCAAAGGACAAGACTATTCGAAAGACGTACGTTTAGATGGGAGGATATTATTAAAGTGGACTTGCAATAATAAGATATGGGCTGAATTCAGCTAGCGTAGTTTAAGACCTTTGTAACCACAGTGATCCTTTCTTTGGGTCCCAAACAGGAGGTAATTTTTTGGCCAGCTGAGTATCGAAGTTTTAAGGAATAACTTACAAATTTTAGTTGGTTTGTTAGTTGGTTACACGGAATTGGTACGTGATATTGCTCTGTAATACATCCAGACTATTTTTCTGTAATTAATAAGTCAACAACAGTAATTACGACATTCTTGTTCCTAACGATTTTTATAACAGTGTAAAATTTTCGTACCATCGTTTTATCTTTATGTACTGCCAAAGACCCCTTAATCACCGCACATTTCTCTTTATTTCAGAAATGCTGGCTTAAGCCAATTAGACTTCAATTTGTAGCATGCAAAGTAAAGAATGCTGTGCATCAACATTAATAAAGTCAGTTTATTTCTGTAGAATTTTACAATTACCTTACAAGAATCTTGATCTTCCAAACTCGTTTCGTATGAAAACTAAACTTGCAGTCTCTCCGTTCTCTTGCAGGTGCGTCAGGATGTGTTTATTTATAGGAGTGATGTCAAATTTGACAGGAATTCGTGAGGGTAGTGTACGGAGTTCTGATGTCATGATATTT